GGGGGAGCGGCCGCGCCGATGGCGACCGCGCCGCCTCTAACGGCTGTTCTGCCCTGCGCTTGGTTGGCTCTCACGGTGTGCCTCTCACCTCCCCTCAGGCCATGGCGAAGAGCCTGAGGAGCAAATGGAGGAGGAAGATGCGGGCGGAGAAGAGGAAGAAGAACGCGCCCAAGGAGCTGGAGAGGCTGAAAAAGACCCTGGGCACCAACGCGGACGTCCTCATGGAGGAGGTGAAGGAGGTGGCCACCGTGGTGACCCCCAAAACGGTCCTCGAGCAGGCGGGTGAGTTGGGCTCGGGCCGGGCGGCGCTGGAGTCACCGGGAGGGGAGGGCCCCGCTGGCATCCCCGGACCAGCCCCCGGCGGTGCTGAGGGGCCCGGGCCGGCTGTGAGGCCTCCCCGCCTGGCCCGCCACCTGCCTTTTGCGTGCCTCCTTCTCTTTTCCTCCTGCCTCCTCCGCCGGTCACGTCTGTAGCTTGTTTTTCACTACACCGGTTCTTCATGAGCCAGCAGTGTGCCCAGGTGGCCCAGAAGGCCAATGGTATCCTGGCCTGTATCAGGAACAGTGTGGCGAGTAGGGCCCGAGAGGTGATCGTCCCCCTGTACTCGGCACTGGTGAGGCCTCACCTTGAGTACTGTGTCCACCTTTGGGCCCCTTAACACAAAAAAGACATTGAGATGCTGGAGCAGGTCCAGAGAAGGGCGACGAAGCTGGTGAGGGGTCTGGAGAGTAAGTCTTATGAGGAGCGGCTGAGGGAGCTGGGGTTGTTCAGCCTGGAGAAAAGGAGGCTGAGGGGAGACCTTATCACGCTCTATAACTACCTGAAGGGAGGGTGTAGAGAGGTGGGGGTCGGTCTCGTCTCCCAAGTCACAGGTGATAGGACAAGAGGAAATGGCCTCAAGTTGCACCAGAGGAAGTTCAGATTGGATATTAGGAAACATTTTTACACTGAATGGGTTATCAAGCATTGGAACAGGCTGCCCAGGGAAGTGGTTGAGGCACCATCCCTGGAGGTGTTCAAAAGCCAGGTTGACATGGTGCTGGGGGACATAGTTTAGTGATTTTTTTTTTTATTATTTTTTTTACTTTGTCAGAGTTAGGTTGATGGTTGGAGTAGATGATCTTGAAGGTCCCAACCCAGATGATTCTGTGATTCTGTTGCAACCACCTAAGTGCAGGGACATCCTGTGTGTGTTATTGTCCCTGTGACTTTCGCTGTCATCATCAGACTTAGATTATTACAGGTTGAGAATAGTGAGGTGGAAAACCCAAATCTCTACCTTTTAAAGTCAACGGTGATATTAAATCACTGAATCTGGCATTTCGTAACATTAGCATCTATATTGCATTTGATCACTTGTGGAACAAGCTTATTAACATTTGATTTTAAAGTATGTAGCCTCTTATGAAGAGACATCTCGTCGTGAAGACATCGAGTGAGGATTCATCACTTAGCAGTTGTACCAATCACAGCATTATATTTGATGGGATATAAATTTCCTTCCTAGTTTAAGGAGGACACTAAGGATATAAAAGTTGGACCTAAATCTAAACTAATTTTGTAGATATTTTATCAGGAATAGAGTGCTTTATTTTTTTTTCTTTTAAAATGTTCTGTCTGAGTAGTAAATGTATTTTAGGGGTTTTAGGGACCCTGGTTTTGTATGCTAATTAATGCTGCATTGTACAGGGTGTGGGAGATATTAGGTGTCTACAGATCTGCCATCTTCCTCACTATTCCTTGAATAGGATGTAATCTGTAAAGGAAGTAACCCAGGAAGTGAAGACAAAAGTTTGAAATAGCTACATACTGGACAGGAGTCAGAAAGACACCATCTCTTTCCAAAACTGCAGTCCAAGCTAAATCATAGTCCTTTTACCTTCTCCAATTTATCCCACTTAAGCTGTTATGGTATTGCTGATGTGAGCTTTTTATGTGGTGTGCAGAAGTCTCTTGAGGCACCGCAGTGGGGATATAAAATAATGCTAGTAATCACTGTCAGTCATGCAGCCGCTTTTGTCAGTGTTTCAGAAATTAGGAAAGACAGAGAAGTGTTGTGAAGTTGAATAGCAGAGCCTGTAAGCTATATTGAACATGGAAATAGAATGCTATATAAAAACACTTGCCCAATTAAGGGTAGTTTGGAGTATAACTTGTAATTTTATCCATGGTTCTGATTTGTCCCACAAACCAGATGTAAAAGTCGTTCTCTATGGGATTGTTAGAATTGAATTTCTAAAATGTTTTGGAAAATTGTCAGCCTTCTGATGCTGAAGCTGGATGAAACATCGTTGTCTTAAGCCTAGTTTCTGAAGCAGATGCCTGGTCTTTTGTCATTCCTGCACCACTTCCAGGTCTGCTGACAACTTTTCTACAAGTATCCAATTTCATTTGGCCTTTGTAGAGAGATAGCAGGCTCAGAAATACTGAAGAATATATATATTTCACAGAACAACTGCATGTTTTTTGAAAATAATGATGTCTTCTTTGAGAGGACTTTCCAGCCCTAGCTGTTAGTGGACATGAGAGAGTTCACATCACCAAATATTATAGGGACTGAAGTAGTTGAAAGCTTCATCCAGAATATGCACTTTCCATAGATAAGTGAATAGTTTTCCAGCCTAAGAAAGTATGTAAGTGTATATTAGGGACATTTGCCTGTGTTATCTTAAGGTATTTTTCACAGTGTGCTGTGAAATAATTATTTTCAGTTTGTGTTATTAGGAAAAAAAAATAATGGACGGTCTGACTAGCCTTTGGTCAAAAAAGGTTTTGTAACTGTTTTTAAAGCTTTGTGGGCATGCACGTATTTTTCAAGATAATCATGTCCATTGAGTCTGCTTTGATAACCTACTTTTAAAGCTTTGGTGGTTTTTTGGTCCTTTTTTTCTGTCTTTTAACCCCTTTGATAGGTATTCTTAATGTCCTTGGACCACTTCTGTTCAGTAGCTTTCTTCCTGTTACTGATTCCTGTAGCATCCTTGAGATTGCAAAGTATGATGAAAACATTGTGTCATGTGAACAACAGATATTTTTTGTCCAGAAGTATTTCTTCATTTAGTTAATGTTGCTGCTGACATTTATTATGGATGCGCTTTTTTGCAGTCAAAATTGATGTAACAGGTTGATGTCAATCATATAATGGGACAGGAATCAGAGAAGAAGCTTATGTGTGTAGAGTTGGTTTTCTTGGGATGTTGGGTTTTATTGTGTTGTGCTGTTGGACGCCATCTCTCCGATGATATTTGGAAAATGACGCTGTTAAGAAGGCTTCATATTGTGTTTCTCTGATGTCTCAGGAGGTTTCTGGAGCTGTGACTTTATTTTTTTTTTTTGCTGCCTGTCCCATGCTGTATCAGCCTTTGGTTGTGCCAGCAGGCAGTAGACTCCTGTGCAGATTCTCTGCTGACTGCAAGTATTCATATCCCAACTTTAGGGCTCCTGAAGCACATCTCTGTGGTGCAGATCCCTGTAGACTGCCAGTGCACTTCAACTATTGAAGTAGCACTTTGGCCTTTTCCTCATGAACTTTGTTTCCCAACATCGGACAGGCACAACATAAAAAAGTCTTTTTTTCCTCCCTGTAAAATCTAGTGATAAAGCTTTTGGAGTTGCACATGGATGGTCTGGAAACAAGGTTGAAACTAAATAATAGAGTTCAGTTAATAATAGAGTTAGTACAGTTAGTTAACTCTAGTTAATAGAGTTAAGCACAGTTCAAATCTGTACTTAAGGAGGTGTTCCTCTTGTAGCGTTGTTGTCTCACTGATATACAACATTCATGTGGTGTTAGCTAGTGAGGACACCCTTGAGAGTGACCATGTCACAGGCTCTTCTTATCCTAGAGATTAATCCTCTGTTTCTGTCTCGAAATATATGGGACTGGGCCTCGTGCTCTCTTCTTGAGGCAAATGTAGCATCACTGGCTCACCGTCAGCTTTTCTCTTTATTCTTCTCTTTACCTGTCTTCATCTTCCACTCAAATTAATTTATTTTCTTAGAATGCGTCTTAAATATTACATCATGAAAAGTATTTAATTGTGCATATGTTCAATAAGCCTATGGCTTCCTGTATGGTTGCAGTTTTTGATGGGGACCACACACAATGTTTTTAAACACAGTATTGGAACAGACAGCAGACTAAAGAATAAGGTGTTTTGCCCAGACATGGGCCTTTAGGGAAAATTCTGCATATTTACTATCAGCTGTTGAAGTTCCTGGGTTGCAGTTGTATTGGTTTGGAAAGGGCTTTCTGTATAAAGCATTCAGCTCTCTACTACAAATACTGTTATGTGTAGGATTATTTTTATAATTTTGGGGGAAGTAACAAAATAGCTTCTATGAAGCCGATTCATGTATTTTACTCACTATAAATACCTTTCTTTTTCAGATGATGGCAAAATGGACGTAGATAATAAACGAAACAAAAAAACTCTTCTAGACCAGCATGGACAGTACCCAATATGGATGAATTCCAGGCAGAGAAAGAAGCTCAAGGCACAGCGTGTTAAAGGGAAAAAAAAGGCAAAATTGGCCAAAGGCCTAGCCTGGTAAAATTGGAGTTTTGTAAAATCATGAATATTTTACCCACAAAATAAATATCCCAAATAATTACACGATACTTTTGTGCTTGGCCATCGAGTGTAATTTATTGTGTTGCAGGAATTTTTGAAGAGACTGTTAGGCCAGCAAATGATGGAAGCAATATCAACCTGGTGTCTGTCAAACTTAAAAAAACAATACAAAAAGCAAGCTGAGTGCCTTTGAATAGACTAAGTATCTGTGCTTTTCTGTTTTCTTGAGGGCAAATGTCTTAATCTTTTATATTGTGAATGCTGAAAATGCTAAAGGAAATCCTTAAAATCGTGAAACTATAAATAGTTTTTGTACTGTGGTCTTTGTCAATGTAACTTGTCTTTTACTAGATTTAACCAAAGGATTCTGTAAATTCACCATATCCTTTAAATTATTGTATAAAATTACTTCTGTTGCGCCAATCTGTATTGCTTTTAACATCTGGTAATTAAGGAAAACGGGTCTTTAACTTGTAATTTGTAAGAGATTATACACTGGTATCAACACCAAGGCTTCATGAAACCTCTGTGAGTAAAAAGACAAAGTGTCAGTCTGACTTTATTTTGCAAAGAGAATGCTGTTGGAACAAAGAAGTATTTCACTGCTGTCTGCAACTGAAATATTGTAGGAACTAAATAACCGAAAGTAAAACTGATTCTTTTATTATTAATATGAGAAAATGCAATGGCACAGATTGGAAATAAAATAGTTTTATTTAAGACCTTTTCCAAGTTTTAGTAAAGTAAATGAGAATTTACTTTTCCATATGTATTTTCAGTAACCTTTTATTCCTCTCAAAGCGGTACTCGTCTATCATGCTTTACAATGTGGGCATAGGATAAAATATTGCATGATTGCGTAACAGATGCCATTTATATGTGATTAGCTACAGTTGGTTGCCTATTACTTGGCAATAACATGTGATGACAGATGCAAGAATTAGTTGCCCCGAAAGCTTGTGTTTTTAAAATGTCTCTCATTTCAAGGATGGAAATAATTACCGTGCCAGTCCTGCAGTATGTTGCCTGTTGAAGTACCATTCATCGACACAGAGTGTAACCTTTGTCCAACTTCATCCAAGATGGGATCCGTGTTCTGTAATTCCCTACAAATTAATTTGTGTCTATTGTGATAAATCCCATTTCCTATGGCCAAGTTATTCTTTTAAAACTAATTATACTAGCTTATACTGTGCTAAAATCCACCAAGAAGATCCCAACGTGATAGAAAAATCAGATTTTCTGGAAAAGTACAGTGGGTTTTTTTGTTATTGATAAGGGAAAAGCACTCTGCTTAGATGAACTACAAAAGTATTGGCAGAAATACCAATCCATCTTCTGTTTTTACATACATTGACAGTTAACGAGACTTGGGAAGATGTATAGATCTAAGTTTACCAAATTATGTGCCATTAATAACTTTGTTATTTAAAAATATTTCAATTCAATTGGTAATACCCCCACTAAAAAGCATGCTGCTTTCAAATTTTTTTTAATTATTATTAGATAATGGACCTAGATTTAAGTATCAAATATGTTAGCATTTAGATTAGTACTACTTTAAAATTGATTAATATGGAGAAAAGATTCATAATTATTATTATTTATGTTTAATGGAATTAAGTGAGCAGTCGGTTTGTATTTCTTTACTATTTTAATGACGTAGGCTGTATTTTGGTTATTGTGTGCTTTCGGAGTTCTTGGGTTTAAGTGCTAACAATTTAGTGTTTTTATGTAAACACAGTGCTATTTTTGAGGTGTTTGTAAATCAGGTTACTCTCAGGCTGCTGGTGGGAAAGCAGACTCTCTTTCCTGGGGGGAGATAATCAAACTGGCAGAGTACTCCTGTTCAAGGGTATGGCTTCAGAGTCAGTTTATTTTCTTCTTTAGGTGCGCAGCCATACTCTTGTGTCTCTTCTTCAAGGCTGCCACCGCTCTGCTTGCCTCACCCTCTCCTCTCTCTGGAGTTGTTCCAGTTCTGCCTCTGCTCCTGCCTCTCTAAGAGAAAATGATCTGTGCAACTGAGTGCTCTTCCTTGTTTTATGACCCAGTCCTGAGCTTTGTTGCACAAATTTATTAGTCTCCTGCTTTTGTGACCAGATTAGAGATTTGAATCTCAAACAAGAGACAGCAGACACTGCACTGATGTTTTATTTAGCAGTTGCTTCTTACCAGCTGAAACAATACTGTCTGTGTGAGGTATTTCCTTCGTGGTGTCCAGGATAAAGTCAAACAGGTTCACTTAAACTACAGATATTTTAAGACATCCTGTTTGATTTTTGAGCTGAAACAGAGGATAAGAAAGGAATAAACCCCAGTTTTTACTGGAAGGCAGCTCTTAGTCTAGTACCAGATTCTGCATATAACATCACAGCTCACTTGGGTGCAGCAAAACTCTCTGGGCCAGGAAGGATTTTGAGAGCCTGGTTGGGAGGGATCTGTAGTCCAGGCTGAAGGCTCGTTTGGAGACAGACAGCAGGAACCTGGCTAAATGTGCAGCACGGATGTAACCTCAGAGGTTGAGTCACAGATGCAGCAGGGAAATTTTACCTTCTAGGATTTCAGCATATTCTATATATGGATATTGTAATTTTGCATTTGATATTCACTCCAGATCTGCTTTGAGCAGCTATTTTTGAACGTGAGTACCACCTTTGTAGTCATTATTGAATATTTGATCTACATTGCTGAATTGGAGCCACGTTCTGTTTGATCAGTTGATGAAAAAAATCATTCTTGTTTCTCTACATAGAAGGTGAATTTAAGCATACTAGGTTTTGGCTGAAATACATGTTTTAGAAGCCCATAGATGGATTTCCGAAGAAGTAAGCTATCTGCCTCTGAATATTCTGATTATATCATAGTTTTTTGATCTTTATCTAACATTTTGTTTTAAAGTTGTGGTTGGGGAGAGAAGTTTGCAGTTGATGAAACTGACTGATGGCATAACTGAAATTGTATTACTGAAATGTATAACTGAATTGGCATTGGTGGGGTTTTTTGTGTGTAACTGCTACTATGAAACTGCTTTGTTGAAAATTCCTACCACTGTAACTCTGCCACCTGCCGTGGTAGCTGGATTTTGTGGACCTACAAAAGGTAGGTGAGATGGTGCAGGTAGTTTTGAACTACAGGCATCAGTGCCAGAACCGAAAGAATTATATACTGTCATTTTGTTGATTCATGATACTGTCATTTTATTGCTGACATGTTTATGGGTATGCAGGGTGTGTGTGTGTGTATACAGTATAAAATCTGCATTAGGAAATTGTCCTGGGGATTGTTGGCAGCTTCTTGAGAAGATGAAGAGTGTCTGCCCTTTTTGAGGCAGTGTGCAGGACTTGGTTTTAAAGTGAGATATTTCAGGTGCCTGAAATAACCGGTGGTGGTGCAGTTCCCAGGCCTTTCTGGTAACTCATTGCTGCTCTGGGCCACCTTTTTTCTGCATTATGTAGTCAAGTGGGCTGGGGAACAAATCTAGCTGAGATACTGAAAATACTCCTTTTATTTTTCAGCGGGGTTGGTTTCCAGCCTTACTGTACAAAGGGTGGTGTCAGCAGGAGGCGATGCAAGACTGGGAACATGCAGCTGGGGAGGGCAGGGTTGCACCAGGTCCTTGCCCTCTTGTGCTGCATGCTGAGCTGGGTTCTCCTCTGCCACCTTTTCTCCTATGGCACTGTGGCTCTTTTGACTCAGCCACCACGCAGCACACCGTTTTAAAGATGGGGAGAGGTTCTGGAGATGAGGTCAAGCAAATGGTGGTTTTGAAAGTTTTTTTTATTCAACGGCGGGTGTAGTATTAGAAAAATTGAGGTCAGTGGTCTTTCTTACAGTCCCCATTAAGTTTTGCTGTAACACTCAGCCAGCGTGGGCTCTGCTGGTGCGTGTAGTCAGCTCTGAGATTTCACAGGTTCTTCCAGTTTGCTTGATCTTTGGCTTTATTGGCAGCTGATGCTGTGGTTATAGAGGAGACTAAATCTGGTTTGGGGATGGCTAGTACTGGAGGAAGAATGTCATGGCCACAGGATGCAAAGTCTTCCTCCGCTACATGGTCACAACTTTTTTTTATTATTTATTTTTTCTAAGAAAAGCGGCCCTTCTCTATCTGTACAAAGGCTTTATACTGAACGTCTGTTTCTATTATGCTTCCTTTTCCTCCTCCAGCATAAAGAGTCACTTGGGTTCTAGTGAATTTGATGAAAGCTGGATGTCTGATCTGTATCAGATTTGTGGTGTGAATTTGTCTGGTATTAAAGATTACAGGAGTACAGCCTCAGCATTGCAGAAACCTGAGAGGTGCAAAGCAATCTATTCCTCTGGGTGGCATGGTCTTAATTGAGTTATGGCAGTTGTGGGGATGATTAGAGCCTGAAACAATGGCTATGAATTGGTCTCTTCAGGCCAGGGTTTTGCCATCAATTTTAACTTATCTGAGGGGGGCACTGAGCCATCTGATAGCTCACTGCTGCAGGAAGAGGCTCTTCTTTTCAACTTTTTCCCCTCCCTTCTGCAGCTGTGCTACCCAATTCATGATTTACATCTTCAGGAGAAACATACACGGATTCTTTTTTCTTTTTTTTTTTTTTTTTTTTTTTTTTTTCCCGCTATAGAATGCTTAAAGTTGGAAGGGACCTTGAAGATCATTGACTTCCAACCCCCTGCCCTGGGCAGGGACACCTCCCATTTTTTTTTTTTTTTTTTTTTTTTTTTTTTTTTTTCCCAGGCTAAAGGTAAGAGAGAACTCATGATCTTCTTCCATTTAATAAGCACAATATTTGACAATCCCCCTGTGCCCGCTGTCCTTTTATTCTTCCTACACTACGCCAGGGTTCTGAATTCAACTTTCCCTTATCAACAGAATCCAAAGGGAAAGAGAAAGCAGAATGGGAAGAGGATGATTTTTGTGCTGCCCCCTCTCCCTCTTCCCGATCCCTTTAACACCATTCTCACTGGTCTCTAATTTTTCTGCTGCACGTACATCAATATAAAAGGTCTGAAAAAATGTTAGAAATAGTACCTGGTATGGTGGCAGAGGGTTGTGTGACAAGGGTCCTACACAAGATAGCATGAGGACTGCTTTATGAAGAGCTTCTATATGGAGAGCAAACAATCAGTGAGTTGTTTTTCTCCAATTTCAGCTTAATCAACTTATTCAGGAGACTATAAAGGTTATGAGTTGTATTCTGGTTTGGTAAGCTATTATTTGGCATCTTTTCCCTGTAATTGTAGTTAATTTTCTTGCAAGGCTTCTAAAGGCTGGATGTGGATTTTATAGCATTTTTAAACTGCTGCCTGTAACCAGAAATTTGGTTTATGGACAGTATTTCAGAAAACAAAGGCACATTTGTTGTCTCAGTACTGCTCACCTGACTCAGTTCAACAGATCCCTCCATACCTGTAGCTGTTACGTGACATGTGTATAATGTGTCTTTTTTGAAAGCTGAGAGCTTCATAATGTGTAGGTGCAGCACCTATTCCGTGCTGCCTTGTGTCTTGAAATGACTTCAACAACCGATGTTCTGTAAACTTGGTTTTGACGGACTGTAACGTATGTGCGAAACAAGAACTTCTTAGATCTATTGAAATTGATTTCTGTCCATCTTCCACCTGCCCAGTGTGACAGAACTCTCTGCAGAGCCCATCAGAGCCGCAGGTTGTCTCATGAGTGAAGACAAAAGATTTCTATGAAGGATTAGAGGGAGGTCTGTGTGTCAACAGCTTCTTGCTTGCAG